TCTGAAACATCCCGACGCATGTCGCTGATTTTGACTGGCAGGCTTGCCCGAAAGTTCCCTCTAGAACCCTGGATGTTGACTTTGTCTGGCAGGCCCAGACAGTGCTTTCCAAGTCTGATTGCTAGCAAGGGCTACATGGAAGCTGCAAACCGAAGTTTCGCCGGCGAATTCCGCGATTGGACTGCGATTGGACGAATTCCGCCAGTGAGCCCCTGCCCATCCGGGCTTTGCCGCTTCCTTCTTGTCACTTCTTTCTTGTTCCGGTGAAAGGTTGACTTGTTGGTGACCGCCCCCGAGGACAGCGAGCCACGACTCTGAAGCAGGCTTATGGTGGCCAACAAGTTGCTGAGGCGGAGGGAAAAATGGAGCCACATGAAAGACTTTGCTGCAGACAATGAGTTCCTCGAGCAGCACTTCTACCACATCAGATTCTGTGGACTCATCGGATCGAGCAAGTTGCAGCGGCGAGAAGCGAAAAAGAAGGCGGCTATGCCCAATGTTGCTACGCGATTGGGAACTGTGGGACCGCGATTGGACCGCGGTTGGCCGGCGATTGGGAGGTTCCCAGGCAAAGTAATTTTTGTACAACCCCCATATACACATACGGGAGTCGTTCTAAAGGTCTTTGTAAGGATCTTCATATGCGGCGACCATCGGTGTTGGTTGAGAAATCTTCGCGAGAGATTCGCCATAGAGTTGCCAAAGCAACACTTTTTTGAAAGTTGTGCGTAACTGTATCTTGTAAATCAGTGAGGCATGAAAGCAGTGTGCGTGTGTGTGTGTGTGTGGTCTGTAGACCTTCCTTCTATAGCTGAATGAAACCCTGTGTTGCTTGTGGCTTGCTCGTTTAGGTTTTAGGTGATAAAGCCCGGTGAGGCTACAGTTTGTGTGTGTGGGTGTGTTGTTGTGTTGGTGTGAGTGGGTGTGAGTGGGTGTGAGTGGGTGTGAGTGGGTGTGAGTGGGTGTGTGTGTGTGGATGTGTGGGTGGGTGTGGGTAGGGGAGGGGGTGTGGGTGGGGAGGTGGGTGGGTGTGTGTGTGTGTGTTTTTGCGTCTGTGTCTGTGTCTTGTCTGTTTCTGTGTGTCTGTCTCTAGGAACACAAAGATTGACACAGAGAGAGAGAGAGAGAGACAGAGAGAGAGAAACACGAGAGAGACGAAGAGGTGAGTGTCTGTGTGTGTCTCTGTCTCTCTCTGTGTCTCTCTTTGTGTCTCTCTTTGTGTCTCTCTCTCTCTCTCTCTCTCTCTGTGTCTCTCTCTCTCTCACTCTCTGTGTCTCTCTCTGCGTCTCTCTGCGAGTCTCTCTGTGTGTGTGTGATTACTCGCTGTGTGCCTCTTTGCGTGTCTCTCTGCGTGTTTCTCTGTGTCTCTCTGTGTCTCTCTCTCTCTCTCTCTCTCTGTGCCTCTCTCTGTGTCTGAAGATGGCGTTTCCGGGAACAAGGAATTTCAGAGAACTGTCTAGCCATCATTTATATATATATGCATATGTATATACACGTATACACCACTTATGTTCCAGGAAATCAGACCCAGAAGCATCCCGAGTGGCATCGCCTGAAATCTATTCCCTCAGGCTGTCCACCCCAGAAACCTGCCCCAGCCCCAAAACCACAGATGCGGCTATGAGGTGGTAGTCCAATCATAAATCGGCAAGTATTGAAAGGGGGCTCACTTCCCTGTCAATCTTTGCCCCCAAAAATTTAACCCCCCCCCCCCCCCAATCCCAAAAAAACAGGCCTCGGAGGGTGTTTACTATTGTCCAGAATGTGTGCAAATTGGAAAGGAGACCCTAACAATAAGAACCTCTCACGCAAGGCACCCCTTTGAATTGAAAGAAAAGAACTCAGAATACAACTTCTGAGGTAGACCTGGAGAGGACACCTGATGGAGACCCTAGAAAAAAGAATGCTCACACATTGCTTGGGTGTCCTCTCAAAAGCACTTCTGGGGAGCTTGCCGGAGTTCATCTGGTTTCTTGAGAGTTTAGTGATGGTTTAGTAATTAGATAACTTAACATGAGCATTGGAAATTTGTGGGGTCCACTCCACTGGAGGGTGTTTTGTTCTTGGTATGTTTATTAATGGAGAAAGAAGTGTTTAAACATATAGATGCAAATGCATGCAAGCGGCGTGTTTCCACGTTTCCAACCCGCTGCCTTTGCGCCGGGCAGGGAGGTAAGCGCGTTTTCAGACTGCGTTCTTTCAAGAAGCCATGGACGCACTGTGCTTCAGCACTTCAGTATCAACCCCCAGGCTTGTTGTACTCCCCCCGCGGAGCACGTGTCCGGAATGTGCCGAGACATATATATGTATATATATATATATGTATATACACATATATACATATATACATCAGATATATGAAATGATTGTATGATCAGAACTTGAGTGACTTGTTTTCATTTGGAGCCATTTTGGGTGATTATTTGTTGACAGGGTACATGGCAACCTCACTTACCAGCTTCGTTTTGGAAGTTCACGGTGGTGTTTTTTTTCCAAAAGTCCGGTTGCCTTTTCTATCCAATCCAGCCAGGAAGGGAGGCGATTCCGAAATGGTGAGTGGCCAAATGTACATGAGTTCTCTGGAATACTGGACGTGAACAACTGGGTCCAGGTTTCTCAGTTTCTCAACCCTGTCACCCCAATCGATTCGTGTAGATCCCGAGAGCCGAGAGCTGGGATTGATGGTCTTACGTGACCGGCCGGGATTTAAAGAACGCCCGGGAACAAACATTGAGCCCCAAAAACGGACAGTCCTGTCTTTATGATTTCCCCCCCAAGATGCTGAGGGTGAACCATGGAACTGTGAGGATGTCCTACCTGACGAAGTGGCTGACGCAGTGGTCGGTGTTCTTCATCATGATGGCCTGGCTCCCAATGCGGCAAAGCATGCGGAAGTGGGCCAGTATATCAGGGCTCCTTAAAAGATCTCCATGTTGCCCCCTTTTGAAACATGTGGCTTTTTCAACACCAAAACAAACGGAAATCACAATTTACAAGGCAATGTTTAGGTGTATACTGTAAGGATCCCTGTATATGATGCTTTGTTTAGTTCAAGCTTGTGTGTCTTGTTTTCCTTTGTGCAGTTCTGCAGTTTGTGCTGTTTCTTGTTCAATTCAATGGTAGTTTTCAAACTGCTTAAGCTAGGATGCATGCAGCTGGTGCAGCTATGGGCCGCTATGGGTGCCGCAACCTTTGGAATTTGTCGACGTCACCCTGCCCACCCCCTTTCCCCTTTCGGCGTGGCAAGTGACATTATTGTTTGGGATTGAACAGGGCTCCTTACAAGATACATGTTGCAACCACTTGAAACATGTTGCTTTTTCAACACCAAAATAAAGGGACACCACCATTTACAAAGCAATGTTCAGGTGGTTTTCATGTAAGGATCCCTGTTGAAAGGTACAAGGGCCCACCGAAAGTACCCACACGACAGCTGTGAGTTTGAGCCAAGCACGTTTTCCGGGTAGGACAATGAAGCGCCATAGGCTTGGAGCGGCTCTTTGGAGCCCTATGCGTTTTTTTTCTAGGATTTCTCCTCCAAAAGGGTGTCCCTGTTCCAGAATGCTGTCATGGTACCAAACAACCCCCCCTTTCCCGTTGGATGCTCTTAGCGAAGCATTAGGAAGAGATTGTTCCCCCAAACAAACCTTCCTGAGTCCTTTTCGGGGGACAAATCACATGACACCGCTTCCCTTCCTTTCCGTGTCCCAATTGGTTTTCGTCTGAATTTGGCAAAAAGACCAGTGATTGCACTCCCGCCCCGCAAACAAAGCTGACTGGAGGCCGACTTCATTTGCCTCTTAACCGAGTGCTAAAACGTCCATATGCGCTCATCCTTTCCCCAATCCAGCGCGAAGGGACCAACCATTGTAGACAACCCCTATTTGGAGAAGCCCCGATGTGAACGGGAGGGAGGGTAAGTCGCAAGTTGGCCATGGCTCAGTTCCTGCTGGTCCTCAGCATCTGGCTGTACTGCCATTTCCACAAGCGCCTCTGCGAACACGGTTTTCCTTTTCTGTGTGTGTGTGTGCGTGTGTGGGTGTGCGGGTGTGCGTGTGCGTGCGCGTGCGCGTGCGCGCACGTTTTCTCGTTCGTGCGTGCATGCGTGCGTGCGTGGTGGGTGTGTGGGTGTGTGGGTGTGTGGGTGTGTGGGTGTGTGGGTGAGTGGGTGTGTGCGCGAGCATGCGTTTGTTTGAGGGTACCCTGGATTTTAAAGGGGAGCACAAACAGGTGGACGCACACTCAAAGTTGGACACGGGACCATTCTTGTAGGTTTGAACCGGGGCTGTTTTACGGCCATCGGCCTAAGCTTCCAAATCAGTTTCCCTCCAATTGGTTTGGATTTGTGGGATGGCTTCCCATTTACCCCCTACAAAGGTTTCTAGCTGATCTGCCCCAGCCCTACGTCCTTTCGGGCCGCCTTTCTTCGCTTGTGTCAGTCGGGGCTGTGGCACAATTGCAGCGCGCCTTGCAAATTCGGTTGCGGGAGGTCCTCAATCTTTATTTGTCCTTTAGAGGTCCTTGTTTTTGACCGGACCTGTCCCATGAAAGTGAAACTTGTAGCAAAGGATCAAGGAACCAGTACCGTCAGAGAGAGCCTGATGTTGCATTGTTGAGTTGTGCAGTTACATTTATGTCATTTCTCTAGCCATGGCCTAGGCTTGACTCCCTGGATGGTAGTCATTCTTTGTGCTAACCATAGCGCCCGCGGTTTGCAAAGTTTCACCTTGGCAGATCGCACGCACTGACTCGGGGCTTGAGGAGTCCACTGAACTCCGCTGTCCCATGTGTTGGTTTTCAAAGGGCGGCCCGATTTCAGTTGCGCCCCGCAGGGCTTGTCACGGATTTGTTTGGCTGCGCGTGCAGCCAGGAGTTCATGTGAAGGCTGGCCGGAGCCCACCGTGCCATGTTGCTAGGCTTCAAATGTGATTCTGGTCTGACGGATTCTGCGCTCCCAATGTCTGGCGGATTTATTGAATTGCTGCAAAGCCCAGGTACACATGAGGCCCACTACCCGCAAGCCTGGGCTTGAATTCAATTACGCCTGTCCTTTCTATCTTATTCAGCCATGCTTCTTTGTAAACCAACAAACAAACAAACAAACAAACAAACAAACAAACAAACAAGACTTGGGTGTCCGGCAGTGGGGCCCACTACCCACCGGGACCTTGAAAACGCTGGAGGAACTCGCGCCGGGACTTGAACTGGATCCACCCCAAGCAGGGCATCTTGGGCATGATCTCCCTTTCGCTGATGCGTCTCGGAATGCAAGGCCTAGGAGCTTTGCGAAGTATCCGAGGGCCGGCTTGAGAAAAGAAAAGCAGCCAGGGCTGTTCCATTTTGTGACCAAGTACTCTTGCTTCTGAGTTGCGTGGTTTGTTGCTTGTTCGAAACTCCTTGCGCTAAGTGGACATGCAGACCGTGGGGAGTAGTGATCACGTTGGGGTTTGGGACATTTGGGGACTCACTCGATTGCCACTAAAATCAGGAGGACAGCAGGTTGTCCTGAATGCCACCCTTGTTTTCCCCGCAAATGGGATCCACCTCACGCTCTACCAGAATCACGGACTGGGTCTTGATGTTGTTCTGTCTTTTGAGAAAATCAAGTGGAGTGCTCTGCGGGCAGTGCCCGCAGTTCGTTCCGGGTACCCGCATTGAGTTTGACGCAGGTACACAATCGGCACAAACAGGCTGACACAATTTCTTGGCGAATGGTGGCCCATGACCAGTGGGCGTTTCCAGGGGAACTTGAAGCACCATGGCCCCCCGCCCCTCCCGTGACCCGGCAGGAAGGGACATCGCCCAACTTCTTGTTCCCCTTGTTTACTTGTTTGTTTATGTATAAATACATACATATACTCAGTAAGGGAAGTAAATGACCCACCATCGTTTGGTGTAAAAGTGGGCTGGCGGAATCGATTCGCCGATCTCGAGGATCTTGCTGCTGGTCCACCTCAGAGATGACCTGATCTTTACTCAATGCATCCACTGTGAAGATGATCGGTTTTGCCGCTGGCCCCGATTCGGCGCTGCGGGTGGGTGGAAAATGGTGTGTGTGTTGAACAAGATCCTGCTGGCTTTGAAAGGGAACCGTTTGAATGGTGCGAAACCCGGGGTGGCTGCACGATGTTAGGAGGTTGGAGCAACTCGGTCCTGGTCGCCCTAGAATCCTTGACATAAAATTGAAAGCCACTCGCAACCAGTCAGTTTCCCTCATGTTTGTTCTTTTTGTGAGGAGTCAAAATGGGGGAGGGGGGGTTCTCCAGGGTTCCCTTTTTGGGGGGGTCTTACCGGGAAACCAAAAGGAAACCCGGAGGTGCCTATTTTAGCAAGCCGCTGGTTGATTCGAACTCCAGCGGTTGGTCTACTGATAAAGGAATCCAGCCACAAAAAGTCAAGATGTGTGCTTAGCAGGGTGTCAATATGTGACTGGGTGTGTCTTACATTAGGGAGACCCCAAAAATGGGGCTGGTTGCTTTTGGGAAAATGAAGGAGCAGCAAGCAGGCAAAAGCTAAAAGGCATTTTCGCTGGCAACACACAAAGGGGAAATCAGGAAGGGGGGAATGGGTATGGGTCAAAATTAAACCGCCATGGACCGCGCAAGTTTCAGTCCTTGTTTCCATTTACCGATCGGGTAACCCATTTTGAGGTTGCCCTATGTTTGACAAAACCACAGCCGAATATTTGGCGTCAAGAATCTGCTTGAGCCTTAGCAACAGCTACTCAGAAGGCCTGCCGGGCGCCCGATTGATGGAACAAGCCAAGATCGTCAGTCACAACGCATTCTTCACATTTCATGAAAATTGAATATGGTTTCGTTGTTTTTGTTTCCCCTTCTTGGTTTTGAAGAGAATCTATCACTATCACTACTGGTTGTTCTTGTCTATTTTTTCCAGCGGGCTGAAGCAAGTGGAAGCATTCGATTCAAGTCTAGCGATTCCCAAGGAAGAGGAAGCACAAGGACTTGCCGCATCTGGCAAACTGTCCCCCATTCAGGACCTGTCCCCCTACATAACTTCGAAGCTGGAAAAATCACTGATCCTGACAAGGGAAGCATCACTCGCTTGCTCATGATCCTTGGATCATCGCATGTCAAGCTCAGGAGCCATTTCGGGGGTGTTCAAACAAAGAAAAAACGCCCACGTGGGGAGTCCCTAGGGTCCGAGCGCCGGTCAAGCGCATGGGCATCGGATCGATCCGAGATTTGGAGAGCCCGTCCAGTCCGAAAAAAGACGGGCAGCGTGGAACCTCTCTGGGTTGAAAGGGAAAGCAAAAGGAAACCCACCCGTTTTGGGGGTGTCCCCTAAAGAGAGACACACCCAAGCTCCAGGTAGGCACTAAAGATTGTCTCACTGTGGTCGGGCAAATGCTGCACTGTTGTCACAACCATGTTGAGGGCTATCAAAACCAGCGAAGGTCATCATCTGCCTGGGCTTTGCGATCTCACCCATGAAGGTGCGTCTATACTTCACCTGCATGTTTACCCAGTTAAGGTTCAGTAGCCTAGGCCGCTCTCCACTTACAGGGTAAATTGCACTTGATAAGCCTCCACATGTGCCAATTGGAGAGTGGCTAGCCACCACTAGCTAAAAAGCTCCACTTACAACAGGGTCACTCCCCTACAGATGAGCCTCGAACACCCAAAAACACAAATTGTAGTTTGTAGAGGCAACTCCTTTTGGGTTTCAAAGGACCCCTTCCGGGGTCTACCCTTGCGGGGCTTACCTCCAGTGGTTGTGTGACCCGTGATCCACCGAGGTTTGGCCGCGCAGCCGGTGATTTACTGTGAGCTCTCAGATTGGGCGGCTCGCTCGAAATGTCGCCGTAGCGTTTGCATCGGTTTGGACGGGCGAACTAGGTTACCCACCCCCTTTATGGTACTTTCCCCCTTTTGGGGCGTCTCCTTTTGGAGGGTGCCAAATCTGTTGGTGAGTGGTGATTTGGGTTGAAACCTCGGGTCAAACCTGGGTAGATGAACCTCTGGTTCTTGAGGGGGTCAAATTGAAAACCAGCAAAGCTGCTTTTCCACAGTTAGCAATATGTTTGAATGCTCAGCCTTGCCTTCCGACAAGCCCCGGCGAACCTGCACGGAACCCTCCTGCAAGCCAGGGATACTAACCACGCTGCGAAGCTCCAGACTATCTAAGTACCCCTAGTCCATTATGTTGACCTCGCCTGAATCAGTCTGGCCGATTGACAGGTGGGTGCATCTCAAGTGAAGGATTCCCGCTGCAATGGGGTTGGAACCACCGGAAGATGGGGTGTGTTTCAGGGGGCGATGAAGTGGTCGGGACTTTCTCCCTTTTTTTTGCTCGGATCCATGTTCGAAATGACAAGCCTCATTCCCGAAGTTCTTATTTCAGTTTGACGCAATCCACGAATCTGAAGTCCCCTGAAGTCAGCAAGCAGCCAACCAATGCAAGAAAATGGAAGAATCGAAAACCCCAAACCCTATTGGCTGTTCCAAGTGGCTCGAGGAATCGGCTTTTGCCATTGCGGAGGCCCATAACCACCTGAGCGTAGGGGCTCATCTTGTGAAGCCACGCCAAGCAGGAGAGAACCCAAGTGCCAGAGATTTGTTGTGCGAGCTCAGGAGTGGGCCGCCCGCGCCCCAGAGCATGCAAGCGCGGTGATCGGGCACCCGGTACCCTGCCCACGTTGCCACGGAAGCCACCAGAAGGTCCTTAGAGGAACAAGGTCCGGTTTTACAGTAGGGTAGAGTACGGCTTTGCATATACCCACGGCTGAAACAAAGACAGATGGGTCCTTCTGAAGTTGTAACCATTCACAACCTTCGATGACCTCGTGGTGAAGCTTGCAGCCTGGCAAAAACCCGAAAGTGTCCCGCAGCTTCGCTGTGGATTTTGGGATCCGATGGTATGACTTCTTGGCTCGGAGTTCTCCAGGTTGCAGTGGTTCCAGCTGTGGGGGGAGGTGAGCTGAAATGGCTGCGAAGATCTTTCAGATTCCTCACTTCTTTTTGCGGTTGTGAAATCAAGAAGAGGATGGCGCGCTTTGCGGTCACCCAAAAGGACGTCCCCAAAGAAAAACTGGTTGACCTGGATTGGCATCCCCGTTTCGCCGGGGCTCCTGTTCTCCAGCTTCCATGTCGCTGGTTAAAACCAGTTTCCACTGGTTTTCCAAGTGGTTGTCCAGCGTTTGTTGTCCCATCGTGGTTTTTTTGAAGCTTGTGGTTTTTCCAGGTGGTGTTGCTGTGGTGTTTCCGGGGGCAAACCCCCACCCCCAGTCGCTCAGACCATGGCCGTTCTGTCGTCGCTGGACATCGCCTTCGTGATCATCGGGTCAATTCCGCTGATCGGTGCGTGTGCCTTGGGCTCGAAGAGTCGCTGAAGTTCAGCCCTCGGAGCTTAAAGGATTCTATGGGTATTGCCAGACTCAACCCATTTTCGCCTGGTTTGTCTAATGGGTGTCACCTGAAAGGTCTAGTTGACCTGCATTTCAACCTGCTGTCAGGGGGATTATGGGCATTGCCAGACTTAACCCAATTTCGCTGTTTCGTCTAAAGGGTGGCGGAAATTCCAGGGTGACATTGCCTTTTTGATCTTGTTGGTGATCAATCAGTTTCCCTTGCCAGCAATAGTTTGGCCCAGGTATGTGTGTCGGGGGGGGGGGGGGGTTAAAACTAGAGGCTCTTTGGGTATCCCCTTGAAAAGGCGACACAAGGTGGTCCCAAAAGGGACCATATTTTTCACAACGCCAGATTTGCTTGTTGAGGGGACCTGACCCTGTTCATGTTGCTTTAGAGTTTTTTGAGATGCTACCATATAATATGAGTAAGGAGGGGGGGCAAAGAAAGACGGCCCCCGTGCTTTTACATTGTGCCTTTTTTGCCAGGGAAGTCCATTTTGACTTGATTTGCTTGGACAACCCCTTGTCAAAATGAGGACTTGGGGACCCAAGAGTGTCCTCGGTGTTCTTTTTGGTTTTCCTAACCAACCTTGCGCTGTGCCCTGATTTTTTGTCCGGAGGCGAAGTGCTTCGAAAGGTGTCCCTAGAAGCTGAACCAAAGCTCTGAATATCCAACCAGCTTCCAGCGGTTCATCCCAAAAAAGAAAACCCGGTTCAAGGGATTTTCTATTGTCTGCCTGAACCTTGCCCCAAAGAAAACCTGGTTTCCTTTAGTGGAAAAGGAACGCTTGAGTTTCGGGGAGCCCGGATTAAACCTTGGCGCTAAATGGCCCAGAGGTGATGTCAAAAACAAGGAAACTTCGACAGGGGATGGGCGTTCTGCTTTAGGTAGGTAGGTAGGCAGGTAGCGGGGCGACCAATACACGACAAAAAGGAACAACAAGCATCGTTGGTTGCTTGATTGCTTGGTTGACCCCTTTTTGATACACATTAACATCGTTTAACAACTTGAGCCCCTCAAAAGAACCGCCCTAGGGGGAAGAGCTTCTCCTCGGGGGGGGTCATTTATCCCCCCCCCCAAAAAAAGAAAATACACAAATAACATTACTAATGAAGGAGCTGCAACGTAAACCCTGGACCACTTGCACCACTTGGCTCACTCGTCTCATGCTGTCAAGGCAGACAAATTCATGGAGAACTGATTGACAAATGCCTTTGAGCTGAGATGTATCATTCTCGAAACATTCCCAAACTACTGAGCAACCAAGAAGGCGTGTCCCGGCTATAGACGAGGGCACCAAGCAGGAATCATTAGCCCGAAAAGCGGCTAGTTCCAACGCCAGAGTGAGCTTAGACTCGGCGATGATTCACCCAAAGTTCGGTGTAAAATATATTAGTAATATGGTAATATTAATAGTTTATAATATATATATATACATGCTTTCGATTGACGGTAACCTTTTTGGGTTGCTAAAAGGGAACGTTTTGGCGGGCCCGCAATTTGACACAAGCCGATATTCGACAGGCAGACTAACAGCACAAGGGCAGCGAATCCGAATTGGGGACACCCAAGATTCATTGGGACCCGAGCCTCCGGGCTCTTTGAACTGATTGTAAGGCTCACGCAATCGTGGAATCTTCAAGCACATACTCTTTAGCCACATTTGGTTCGCCAGGATCAAAGATTTATTGTTTTGAGCCAAGTCGATTGTTTGTGGCTAGTGGCCTCCAGTCCCTTCCTTGCGAAGCTTTGGGGAATGGAGTTTAACTTGCTGGCGCCCAGCAGGGAATGACCCCTATAAACCATGCTGTGTGGTTTCTTTTTGAGAGGAATCCCTGGCTTCATTCCCTCATTCCCTACTGCAAGTAAACCCGACCTATAGCTTAGGAATTCCCTACTGCAAGTAAAGCCGACCTATAGCTTAGGCATCTACAAGTCCTGGCGGTGGCAACACGGGCCGGTGCCTAAGGTGACAGTCCTGAAAATGTAAACTTCCATTTGCTGAAATGAATATGATATGTTTTCATCTCCCCCTGTTGGTTTTCAAGGGAATCCATCACTGTTTGTTTGTTTTTGTTTTTTCGGGGCACTTGAGCAAATGGAGGTCAAGGCACCCAAATGACGCATCGACGGAATGTGGGAGTGATTTTGCTGATACCGTTTCACCTTGATAAAGAGGTTCTTGGGCTACCCCGAAATTTAAATGGGAAGCAGAAAACACCTTGCACCCAGGAGTGAGGCCCGCAAAAATGCCCTTTTCCAGTGATTCCAGAGTTGTTCCAAGCCTCTGATTCCAACCCGAAAAACCGGGTCTTCGGAGCAACCCCCTGAGTTGCCTTGGAAGGCAACCAACGGATTCACCCAAAAAGTGAAAGGAACAAGAGTGGCAACCTTCGCTGGAAACAAGGGGTCGGCAAGGGGAAGAAACCAAAGGCCCCCCGCCCCGGAACCCCTTCTGGGATCTTAGAAGAGGTTCTGAGAGCCTGTTTGATGGGTAGGGGGAGATTTCTCTAACTGCGTCTGGAGAATGATAGCAAATGTTGCAGATTGTGATTGGTTCTTTGGTGCTGTTGGCGGTGTTTAACGTCGCCCTTCGAGCAAGTTTGAAGTGAATTTTCTTTTGGTGGTGTTGAACACATTTAGATGTCGCCACTGGAAAGCCCTCCTCTCCCCGGCCTGCTCGTTTTCAAGGGTGCCCGCCCTTCCACCCACAAATGCCATGCCCCCCAAACGCTTGAAAAGGAATGGTGCAAACCAAGTTGCTACCTGCAACATTTGCGCTTTGCCGCCGGCCAGCGACACTAAGAGCCATGAAACTGGAAGGGATGGGAAGGCTGTCCACTTTCTTTGGTTTGCGAGAAACCGGATTGCCGCGCAGCACAAGGGAAATTCCGGGCGCCAGTTTCGTATGAGCCATTTGCACCAGTTGAACCATAGATTGGATGCCCAGTTGCCCAGCGGCGCCCTTCTTCCTTAGGGATTTTTGTGAACCCCCTCAAACTCAAACTCAACCAAAAAAATGAAAAAATATGAGGGATGCATCCGTTTCCCACGGCCCAGTGTGGCGTCTGAGGGATTCATCCATGCCAATTGCGTTGTCGTCTCCAGGGAGGAGTCAGCCCTTGGCTCTGACTTCGAAGCTCCCTGGTACGTCTTCTTCTCGGAGCGCTCGATCGCGCTCGATCCCATGCGTTCCACGAAACAGCGCGGTGCTCCGTGGCCTTTTTTGCGACGGAGAGCAGAGCCTTGTCGTCCTGCAACACCTTCGTGTGGGGGATTTGCAGCTCACACTGAAGGGAACTTAGAGCCATTTTGGAACAAAGCAATGATTTCTCGGGGTTATTAGTTGTCCCTTTTGAGTTAGTTCGGATTGGCTCTATATAAGCGGGAACCTCTACACCAACCAAAACCACGACCCGGGTCCATTGAGGGACACCTGGGGGGAAATCAATTTGTCCACTCTTCTATGATGTCAGGGCCTATCACACGCAATTCCCATGCGGGCGAATCCTCCTGAGATGAGGCGTATTGGGATGATCTACATCTGTTTGCCTCAATCTCCAAAGCCTTGAACTCTTGATCTCCAAGGCCCCCACGCAATTTGGTAGCTTGAATCATGAGCGGCGACCCCATGTTTGTGTCTTGGAGACTCCGGGCTGCAAAACAGAGTCTTCCACTTTCGGATGGTTTAGTTTCTCAGCGAGCTATGTCACATCTCTTTTTACATCCGCAATTGGAGATTATCTTGGGGTTCCTCAGGTGATTTGGACTCCGTGTCAAATGGGAGCCACACGACTGGATTGTTCTCGGCATGTGGACACGTCCCTTTGTTCATCGGCCAGTTCTGCTCGAGGCCTTGAAAGTTTGTCTCCCAATGGACTGTGGACAAAATCCTGCTGCTATGAAGCCCCTATGACATGGCTAAACCACCCGTTGAATTTCTTGGCTCGTTTCCATCCACAGTACTCCGGTCGAACATGGAACCTGGCTGAGTGGAAGACGAGTGTATGTTCCTGTCCATGGACGTCCGGGGGTTTCAAACCCAGTTGCCCAGTGGTGCCCTTGTTTCTCCTTGTTTTGAGAAGGGTTCCGATTCCTCTAAAGTCAACCAACCAAACAAAAACGGATGCGGATCCTTTTTTCCCGCGGAAATCCACTGGTTGCATCTGAGCAAACATCACCCAGGAAGCTTTGCTCCTCGGCTTAGCTTCGCTTCGCGCAGGAGTTCTGGGTGAAGCGACACCTGGGCTACATCAAGGAAGTGCGGCAGGCAGATCTGACTCCCGGAGGGTCAATGTTTCAGGACCCCGAAAGGGTTCCAGGGGTCCTGGGCTGTTGGGGATACCTTGTGCTTGTTAGTAGGCTTCCTACAAAAGTAGAATAAACAGAAGAAAGGCGTCCAATCCTTGTTTTTCTACCAGGGACAGTGGACAACTGGCATCTTGTTTGGGCACGATCAATTGGAAGCATCATGTTTATCCAATTGAAGAGGACACCCAAAAAGGGACGTTTACTTTTTGGTCCAAACCCTCTATTCAACAGGTTTTGGTTCGGGGGTTGCAGCCGAGGGATCCAATGTCCCCTGAAAAGGTGCCTTTTTCACCTCAACCTGTGGGGAAGGCCAATTCAAAGGGAGCGGAAGCTCGGGTGATGTTTGAAGGGTACGAAAATAGCTTGGAGCCCTGAAAAATGACAGCGTGCTTTTGGGTTCCGCCGGGCTCCGCGTTGAACCATGAAATCCAGCTCCCTACACGCGCCACGCAAGCGTCAGACGTTGAATTTGATTGAATTCATCATGCGGACGTGAGTCTGTTTTGCCTTTGAAGGTTGATGAATCTCCCACGTTCACTGTGTTTGGTATATGTTTTAGTTGGTTGCTTTCTTGGATTTCTTGTTAATTTGTTGGTGGGCTGCAAAAGAAAAGTATGCTGGAGGTTTCAGTCTTGTCACCGATTGCGTCTGAGCAAAGAGCAGACGACTATTTGGTTGTTGCTTTCTTCGGGGCAATTTGAGATAGTGATTGATAAATGGAGAGCAAGTAGACCTGTTGTTGTTTTGTTTTGTTTGTTTGCGGAAATGATTCCCTTACCGAAAAGCTACCAGGCAGGCTAGGAGATGCATCAGAACAAATTGGGGCCGAAAAAGTCCGAGATGTTTTCCAGGATAAGAACCAGTCTTTGCGGCTGGCATTGTTTGAGCTTGATGCATCCAACCTGCTCCATACTCCAGTCCCAGCTGACCTGAGGTCCCAAACAGCCAAGTTATGTACAACACTCTGTATTTAAAAGATGCAACCCAGTAGAATTTGCACGGGGGTTGTACAGGAAACATGCAGGAAGGTAATAACATGGTTTACTTAAGGGTAGGGAATAGATAAAAGTTTTGCATCCAGGGCCACCTCAAAGAAGTACTAAAGTCTAAACAATACTGGGCCAGCTCAAAAGAATACTAAACCAAGACTAAACCCATTCCTAACAGACCTGGGCCAGCGCTAAGGAATACTAAACAAATACTAAGTTATTTCTAAACAGTACTGAGCCAGCTCCAAGGAATACTACTCCAATTCTCAACCAGTTTCAATCAGCATTGAGCCAGTATACGTGAATACCAAACCCATACTTCACCAGTG